TAATTTCATTGTGTGTATTAGGTATTAGGAGTATTTGTTTACTAGCACATGCAAATGGAAACGGATAACCGGGATCCTGATATTTGGAGGTGCTTCCATTCAGTTTAAAGTGTTACTAAACCCAGGACCCTGCATTCACTATATCTGGTCTCCCACAGTACACAGAACACGGAAGTGCTATTATTTTAGTAAATATAAACTGCTAAATACCTTTTCTCATCAGCATTATATAGCAGTCTTGTGACTTTTATCAGTGTCCAGCTGAGCACTGGTTAAAGCTTGTAGGAGGAGTATTCATTCTCCCCTAATTGTCCTATGAGGCTGCATAACCCCTGACCCTCTGTCCGGACAGTGTTGATATGCCCTGTGCTGATCACATACACACTCCAAAGACATTCTGGTAGGTTAATTTGTTCCTGTCTAAATTGGCCCTAGTATGTGTATGTATGAATGTGATTTTGGGGCCTTCGATTGTTCGCCCCTTGAGGGTTAGGGACTGATGTGAATGTACAATATATATGTACAGCGCTGCGTAAATTGACGGCACTATAGGAGTACCTGTAATAAAATAATGAAAAATACAGGATCAAGCAGCTTTTTTACACAATGCAGAGGATTAACCCCTTAGGTTCCATATGCATATATAGACTGATTTTACTGCTGTGTGTTTAGTAACACTTTAAGTTCAGTGTGATTTGAATTATGCAGCAATATGACCATAGTTTATATAATGCTATCTCTATTTGTACCATCTAATAATGGCCCGGCCAATGCATAGGAGGAGATTTGGATGAGTAGGACGTCTGCTTATAATTGACAGAATTTGGCATTATCATGTGTTTTATCACAAAGGAGAAAGGGGAAAAAAACCCTTTTTTGGAAAGCAAGATATTCATAGAAGGCAAACACAGGAAACCAGAAATTACTGAGTGTGTATGGAGGACTTCCTTTCCCCGCAAGAATTCCTGCTCGAAATTGTCCCTTTGTGGGTGCACCTCGCCCAGAGATTGCAATATCCTGGGAACTACAAATCCTTAACCACTTCATTGCTGCATGTCCACATAGACCTCTAAATTAATTCTAACCTTTTTAATGTAAGGATTTTCTCTTTGGCATGCAAAGATTTTTATTCCATGAAATGCATTAGTCTGCTATCTGGGTGAATGCAGGGACCTCAGAGAATGTGAGTATCTATTACCGTGTTAGAAAATATTTTCTTTCCTTTTAACCTGTCAAGATCCAGTCATTTCTTTCCCAACAGCTAGTTTTACTCACTGGGGCTGTTCATTAAAATGAAGGGATAGTAATGCCTGTCATGGACTAATGACACTAAGAAGTCAGCCCGTTGGATCTCTGGGTGCTGGTGACATTGATCCTCTAGTTGATACTCAGTAAACACAGTGATTTTTCTAATCGATTTCAAATCTGCCCAAATACCAATCACTGTTCACCTGGCCATTCACGGAGTGAAGATGAGCTGCGGGCGGCCCCATCTGCATTTTCCTGCCTGACAGCCTTGGATCTAAAAATAAAAAAATGGCAGCCATACAGCGGCTGCATCCAGTTAGATGCAGGTAAGCTGACTGCCGAGGGCGCCACCTGTCAGAATAAAATAGCCAACAGTGAAGATTCCTTTACCAACTATGTTTAGCATGGAAGGAATTGATAGAAAACAAGAGAAATTTAACCGTGTATTCCAGGACGACATACTCAAAGAAGTGCTAGGTATTTTTTGACCTGCAATTGAAGTCAGATGAAGGAAAACTTCAGACAAGCTTAGTAGTTTTGCAAGGCAGATCCCACACAGCAAGGCTTCCCTTGAAGGGCATCCAACAGTAGCTCAAAACATAGAAATTCAAAAAGGGGCACCAGAGCAAAACCTGATAAGAGTCCAAGGTAAATTTAATTGTTAGTTAAAAAAAAAGAAAGTCCTATAAAAATATCCAATGTGTTTTGTCAGGGCTCCATACAGGATACAACTTGGAGGAAACAGTGACTTCATAGATCTATATTAGAGCCAGCATTTAATTCTCCACTTGGATTAACAACTTGAAAGCAGTTGAGCTGCAATGGAGCTTTTTTTACCAATAATTAAAATGATCTTGGACTCTTTTATCCGGTTTTGGTCTGGCACACCTTGTATCTTACAGTGTATGACCAGCTTTCCTTACTGTGGCAGGAGACACACAAGAACTAATTTGAATATAGCAGTAAATGATTCTGGGTTCTGTCCAAGGTAATGTACAGTCTGAAAGTTACTTTGATAATTGTACTAAAGCACAATGTAATAGCTTTGTGGATGCAGAGGAATGCTGACATTACACAACACATCTGGAGTGCAGATAAATGTGAAGAAACGTAACCTTCTGGTTAGATGTGACCGTCTGCTGTTGTCAGTATCTGCAGTGAAAGACACAGAGCTCCTCTGTAATGAAGACATTGGAAAGGAAACATTCCCACACCCATTCTGTGCTCGCCAGACATGTATCAAGTCTTATAAATCAGATAATTACATTAGTTTAAATGAGTCTACATATCCGTTTGCTTACAGTGTCGGAGAAAAGCTATGGCAAATGCAGACACCTAAGTGGACTCATAACTTTGAGAGCTGGTGCAAGTAATTGGTAAATGGAAAAATATCTTCTTTAATTGCGCTTCTGGTCTATAAAATCTCTCCCTGAGACATTGGCTGTTGTGCGTCTGCCACCATTTGTCATGTGCTTTTGTGCCAGGGAAGGAATTCCCTGTCTTGTTTGGCAGCTCAGTAAAATGTATTGATGTGGCTATTTTGGTCTCCTGAGATGTTCTCATTCATGAAGAAAGGTGACTTTATTGCCCGGTGCCTTTTCTTTGGAAAACAAGTGCTGAGGGAACACACCTTTATTTGCAGGTACACCAAAATGTGCTTGTCTGTAATGCATGGAAGAACTGACAGCCCTATTTCATGATTGATTTGAACTCTACATCCCCGCTTGGTGTATCTGGATCGCTTTCATGAGTTTTACTCAATTTAATGTTTTCTTCTGTGTCACTATATATTAACATATTGACCAGCATCTGACCTAAGGACCAGTTCACACCAGAACGATGTGGGAAACCCACGTTCCATGCACGTTTCCCACTCTGAGTTTGAAACTTACTGTAGTTGCGATCTGCAGTAGGTGTCAATATTAAAGCGGTAGTAAACCGCAGGTAAAAAAAAAAAAAAACCCTGCAAGGAAATGTGTTAGTATGCATCACATACTAGAACATTATGAAGGACTTAACTTAAAACTATCCCTCCAGTGGCACGCTGTCAGCGCTGCAGAGGCTTCCATTTTCACCCAGTCCCTTTCTGGGTTCACTCCTGCGCATGCCGGGCCACGACATACTCTGAAGGAACGGCACAGGTATGCTGTGCGTTTTCCGTATTACTCCTAGTGTGAACTGGCCCTTAGTGCATACCTATTCCTTCACCTATATACACACCGCGTGTATGTGTATGTATATGTATGTATATATATATATATATATATATATATATATATATATTTTTTTTGGTGAATGTTGCCTCCTAAATTTGCATAGCACATGAATATGCACATTTTGAAGCATTTGAAATGCACATAAATACACATTAGCATGTGAATATGCATACAGTAACATATGCCACAAATTCACACAAAAAGCCTCTTTTATGAGAGTGTCTGTGGGAAGGATATGATAGCAGCCAATCCAATTCTTTTCCCTTACTCTTGTACCGCAAAAGGATTGTTTCCTGTGGCATTCAGACTGTCTAATACATTCATTTTCTTAATTAACACAATGTGCATTCTCCTCCATTAACAGTGCTGGGTCTATTTCTGGACTGCAGCTATACATCTAATGACTGCCACTCCGTTTTCAGCGGTGGCGCGTGTTTTTGTTTGGGCAGTTGGCACGTGTGGAGTTTGGGAAGGCTTCGCAGAGAAGCCCTGATTGATTCCTCCGTGTTCAATAATGTGTTCATTACAATGGCATTTCCTGGACAGCTGGGTCTGCTTAACCCAGGAGCCAAAATGACACTGAGAATAGAAGCAGATTCTCCCGTTGTGCCATTTTGCTTCTTTCAAGGCACACCGTGCAGCCCGGTCCTGGTTTCGCTTGTAATGTGTTGCATTTTTTTTTTTCTCCTCCTGTTCTGGGATGTCACAGCATCCTTTTAACATGGAGAAACTGGGGCAGAATAAGGCATGCAGCACTGCCTTGCACATAACCTGCTACTCACCACGCAGCATCTTCAGATGAATCCCTTTTGGATTTTTCCTGGGGAAAAAAAAACTGATATTCGAAAATCATATCGCTTCCTGCCCATGTTATTTGCCCTGCTGAGTGGGCTTGTGCCTGAATGAACATTTATTTAAAAACCAACCCAACACATCACACAGCCAACACAGCTCATGATGATAAGACACAAATGGCAGAGATTAGGCAAATGCAGAGAAAACCCATGGAGGCAAAGTCATGAAAGGACAAGCGGGCTTCTCAGAGCTGGCTAAGTATACGGCATGCATGAAAAGTGAAGATTTCCTATCTTATAGGGACTATATAGATTGGTTCAGCTGCAGGGTGCCGCCAGACAATACCGATCTCTAGGCTTTTGCTCTTTGCTTGCCTTTTTTGGGCACAGCTTCCATAGTAATCCTTGCAATACTTACTAGAAAATATTGTTTTCCCCTTTTGTTAGCCATAGTCTGTACCTACCTGGTGGTTATATTATGACTTTGTATTTAGTGTCAACCTGTTATTTTTAGCCATGATACATTCCGCCAAAAGAACCAGTCCAAACACAAAGGGTATGGAGTCCATCGGAACTAAAAAAAAAAAAAAATGAATCCACCAACACGGAAAACCTGTATTGTGGATTCAATGTACCACACATAATTTGCCGGCGTATTAAGACGACCCCCCTACTTTTCTAAAATAGTGTTTGGGCTATAAAAAATTATGCACACCGAAATTCCAAAAGTGCCCCATTTGGAGTGGGAGGTAGTGCCCCATCAGTATTGGGGGGAGGTGCCCCTTCATTTATGTGGCAGGAATGGTGCCCCATCATTATCAAAAAGTGCCCCATCATTGGTACAGGTGCCCCATCATTGGTATCAGTGGCAGGAATAATGCCCCATCATTGGTGTCAGTGGGAGGAATGGTTGTCCCATCATTGGTGTCAGTGAGGGGTGGAAAGTGCCCCATCATCATTGTCAGTGGGGGGGTGGAATAGTGCCCCATCGTTGGTGTCAGTGGGGGGGGGGGAATAGTGCCCCATCGTTGGTGTCAGTGGGGGGGAGGAATAGTGCCCCATCGTTGGTGTCAGTGGGAGGAATAATCGTTGTATCAGTGGGAGGAATCAGTTGCCCCATCATTGGTATCAGTGACACCAATGATGGGGCACTATTCCTCCCACTGACACTTGCTGACCCTGTTCTAGTACGGTGCTGCTGCAGCCAGCATATGTGGTTGCAGCAGCACCTCTACACAGAGCACTTACCTGCTTCCGGCACTCAATTTTCGCGGGGCTACTCCGCTTCCGCCCCCCCTCGCCGGTGATTGGCCGCCTGTGTGCCTTTCCCGAGCTACAGTTCTGGCGGCCAATCACCGGTGAGGAGGCGGAGCCGCGCAGCCGCACGAACATCCAGTGGCCGAACTGAAGGACGCGCTTCCTGGACCGGATCGTCGTGGGACTGGATCCAGGTAAGAGACGTCAGCCCCTGCAAACCCCTGTACTTAATGCCGCAGCCCCCCTAACATGTGTACCGGCGTATAAGACGACCCCCGACTTTTGAGAAGATTTTCAAGGGTCAAAAAGTCGTCTTATACGCCGGCAAATACGGTATATTTATCCGAAATTCCAAAATTTTGGAGTGTGAGTAGATTTGGGATGTTTTTGTATATATAAAAAGTCTACACACCCCTGGTAAAATGTCAGGTTTCCGTGATGAAATAAAAATGAGACAAACATCAATCATTTCAGAACCTTTTCCACGTTTAATGTAACCTATAAACTGTACAAATCAGTTGAACAACAAGCTGAAATATTTTAGGTGGAGGGAAGTAGAAATAAAAAACTAAAATAATATGATTGCATAAGTGTGCACACCCTTAAACTAATACTTTGTTGAAGCACCTTTTGATTTTATTACAGCACTCAGTCTTTTTGGGTTTTTGAGTCTATTGGCATGGCACATCTTGACTTGGCAATATTTGCCCACTCTCTTCTTTACAAAAACACTTCAAATCTGTCAGATTGCGAGGGCATCTCTTCTTCAGATCACCCCACAGATTTTCGATCGGATTCAGGTCTGGGCCCTGGCTGGGCCATTCCAAAACTTTAATCTTCTTCTAGTGAAGTCATTCCTTTGTTGATTTGAATGTATGCTTTGGGTTGTTGTCATGCTGAAAGATGAAGCTCCTCTTCATGTTCAGCTTTCTAGCAGAAGCCTGAAGGTTTTGTGCCAATATTGACTGGTATTTAGAACTGTTCATAATTCCCTCTACCTTGGCAAGGCCCCAATTCCAGCTGAAGAAAAACAGCCCCAAAGCATGATGCTGCCACCTCCATACTTAATTGTGGGTTTGGTGTTCTTTTGGTGATGTGCAGTGTTATTTTTGCGCCAAACATATCTTTATCTCTTCTCTACTTTTTCCACCTCCACCTCCACCCAGTACCTCACTCACTGCTCATGAGATTGCAAATAATTTCAAAAACAAGATTGACGCAATTCGTAGGGGCATTGCCAGTGCACAGACATCCATCCCACTTAGCATACCTTATACTAAACCTCCCTTTGACCTTGCTACTACCGAAGAGGTCAATAAGGTTTTCTCTGAAGCCCGTCTCACTACCTGCCCCCTGGATCCTGTCCCCTCACAACTACTACGGTCACCCTCTTCTTCCATCCTATGCTCTCTCACTCACATCTTCAATCTCTCCCTCTCTAACGGTGCCTTCCCCTCCCCTCTAAAGCATGCGCACATCACTCCCATACTTAAAAAGCCCTCCCTGGACCCCACCAAACTGAACAACTTAAGACCCATCTCCCTGCTCCCATTTACCTCTAAACTCCTGGAACGCTTAGTCTACAATCGCTTAGTCTACAATCGCCTGAGCTCCTACCTCACTGACAACAACCTTCTTGACCCTTTACAGCCTGGCTTTCGCTCACTCCACTCCACTGAAACTGCCCTACTAAAACTCACTAATCTACTAACAGCTAAAACCAATGGCCACTACTTCGTACTCTTACTACTTGACCTCTCTGCAGCTTTTAATACGGTTGACCATCCCTCCTCCTCCTCAAAAAACTCCACTCTCTTGGCTCCTCTTCTTCTGGTTCTCCTCCTACCTATCGCAGTGCTCCTACAGCGTTACCTACAGTCAGGTCCATAAATATTGGGACATCGACACAATTCTAAAATTTTTGGCTCTATACACACACCACAATGGATTTGAAATGAAATGAACAAGATGTGCTACCCCTCACCTCACCCCTTCAGTCTCCTCTCACATTACTAACCTACTAAGTGACATATCGGCATGGATGTCACTCCACTTTCTCAAACTCATTCTTTCCAAAACTGAGCTCTTAGTATTCCCCCCAGCCCATGCCATGCAATGAGGAATAGGCACTAAGAGATGGACCTTTATTCCAACATTTACAAATTATATCATATTCTGGTGCCTTAGAGAAGTAACTAGTGTATTGGGTCTCATAGTTGAAAATTGTATAGTTGGCATGGAGGAGCTCAGCTATGAGGAAAGATTAGAGGAACTGGATTTATTCTCTCTTGAGAAGAGGAGATTAAGGGGGGATATGATCAACATGTATAAATACATCAGTGGTTCATATAGTGAACTCGGTGTAGAGTTATTCACCCTGAGGTCATCACAGAGGACAAGGGGCACTCTTTACGTCTGGAGGAAAAGAAATTTAATCTCTAAACACGGAAAGGTTTCTTCACAGTGAGAGCTGTGAAAATATGGAATAGACTCCCTCAAGAGTTGGTTCTGGCCAGCTCAGTGGATTGCTTCAAAAAAGGCCTGGATTGTTTCTTAGATACACAGAATATAACTGGATACTAACATTTATAGGTAAAGTTGATCCAGGGAATATCCGATTGCCTCTCGGGGGATCAGGAAGGATTTTTTTTTCCCAGCAGGAGCAAATTGGATCATGCTTTGCTGGGGTTTTTTGCCTTCCTCTGGATCAACTGTGGGTATAGGATTATAACTTTTTTTTTTTTTTTTTTTTTTTTTAATGGTTGAATTGGATGAACTTTTGTCTTTTTTCAGCCAGACTATCTATGTAACATCTGGCTCCTGGACTGCAAATCGGAGACCAATGTAGAATATTATAGTAGGAAGAGGGGGACTTTGTTTTCAAAATTAAAATTTTTTCAACTTGAGTTTCAGTGGCATGATAAAAACACTTTACATATCTACATGCGCCTTTTGCCTTCCTCTGGATCAACTGTGGGTATAGGATTATAACTTTTTTTATGGTTGAACTGGATGGACTTTTGTTTTTTTTTTTTTTCAGCCAGACTAACTATGTAACTATGTTTGTGTATTGGGAACATACGGCGAGCCTGGTGGGACAGTTTTGAGATTTTGAAACACCGCCTTTGATTTTTGTCCCTGGCACATATAGAGAGGTCTATTCTTGGCTTTGCTCGGCATCAGATGCAAGAATCTTGTCCATCTGGTTTCTGCAGGAACCTGTTGATGGTTATGTCTCCCCTGAGACTGGGCAAACCTGAAAATAACATCATCTTGGATAAACACCTACCCTATCCTGGTAATACAGTTTTTGTTTTATTTTCCTGATTCGCATAGCTTGCGGTACCTTTACTGTTTGATGCCAGATCTAGAGTACTTAGCGGTGCAATGCAGTGCTTACCTCTCAAGCCATTCCAATTTTTAGCACTACATACATATGCACATTGACATATACATAGTATATACAAGTGAAGGCTAAAAACATAAGGTCATTAATGTTTCTCAGTGGTTTCATGTCTGCAAGCAGTCATTACTTTACTGCCATGCTTCTGTGCTGCTATTCCAGTGAAATGGAAATTATTTGTATTCCATTCTGGTAGAGTGATTGTGCTCCAGGATTAAATGGAAGTAGTTCCTGCAGAAATTAATGGACAGAAATGCTTTCCCTTTAATATTTTGGGAGCAGGCTTACCGTATTTGCCGGCGTATAAGACGACTTTTTGACCCTTGAAAATCTCAAAAGTCGGGGGTCGTCTTATACGCCGGTACACATGTTAGGGGGGGGCTGCGGCATTAAGTACAGGGGTTTGCAGGGGCTGATGTCTCTTACCTGGATCCAGTCCCACGACGATCCGGTCCAGGAAGCGCGGCGTCTCCTTCAGTTCGGCCACTGGATGTTCGTGCGGCTGCTCGGCTCCGCCTCCTCACCAATGATTGGCCGCCAGAACTGTAGCTCAGGAAAGGCACACAGGCGGCCAATCACCAGCGAGGGGGCGGAGCCGAGCGGCCCCGCGAAAATTGAGTGCCGGAGCAGCAGGTAAGTGTTCTGTGTAGAGGTGCTGCTGCAACCACATATGCTGGCTGCAGCAGCACCATACGAGAACAGGGTCAGCAAGTCTCAGTGGGAGAATAGTGCCCCATCATTGGTGTCACTGATACCAATGATGGGGCACTATTCCTCCCACTGATACCAACGATGGGGCACTATTCCTCCCACTGATACCAATGATGGGGCACTATTCCTCCCACTGACACCAACGATGGGGCACTATTCCTCCCCCCCACTGACACCAACGATGGGGCACTATTCCCCCCCCCCACTGACACCAACGATGGGGCACTATTCCACCCCCCACTGACACCAATGATGGGGCACTATTCCACCCCTCACTGACACCAATGATGGGACACCATTCCTCCCACTGACACCAATGATGGGGCACTATTCCTGCCACTGATACCAATGATGGGGCACCATTCCTGCCACTGATACCAATGATGGGGCACCTATTCCCCCCACTGATACCAATGATGGGGCACTATTCCTCCCACTGACACCAATGATGGGGCACTATTCCTCCCACTGACATCAATGATGGGGCACTATTCCTCCCACTGGTGTGCATTGGAGAGGGGTAGTCTTATACGGCGAGTATAGCCCAAACACTACATTTTAGCAGGAAAAGTAGGGGGGTCGTCTTATACGCCGGCAAATACGGTATATATGAATACTGACATATATTAAAGGAAATGCCGTATGTACCATCATCTGTGGTCCTGCTGTTTCAACCAGCTGCCAACAATTAAAGAACTTCGGTGTCTTGTATAAAAATTGAATAACTCTAAAAAAGCACTTTGATGTTTTAAAAAGCTGGTTTTGATGCCT